CTAGCAGAAAGTGCAGCTTGGATTCTAGCATACTGGACACCGTGATTCTAAAAATGTGCATACCCATGTCAGACTCATAAGGGCTGGTTCAACTGTTTTTACCTTTTCAAGATAAAGGACAGGTAATCTGCTGCTTAGAGCTCAACTAGTCATCGTTCTTTTCCAGGTTAATCTGTTTCTTGAAATTGCAAGCTTTGGATAGTTAGTTTTGAGTCTTTATGCTGTGATTCATAGGAAGAGCTTTGTCAGCCTTAAACTCTTAGAAATACGTGGTTATATGAGTAAATACGTGGCATAGGAAGTGGGCATTTTTTAACCCACTTTTAAGTCACAGTTCATCAATGTTGTTGGAAACGTTTTTTAACAGAATTCTAGATTTAAAATACAGAATAATAAGAAAAGCATCTGATTAACTCTTAACTAACATGGCTTAACATGGCTTGCAGGGATTTGAATATAATGCCTTTCTTTTTGGTCACTAGACAGAGTTCTTCTCCCAAAGTGAAAAGTGTATCCCCAAAAAACTGAATCTCAGCCACGTTCAAGATGCACACTCTGCAAAGAATGAAAAGAACAGCTTGAGTTTCAGTTAATTGTAGCAGAATCATTACTCTGAGTTTCATTTATTATTCTTGAAAACTGTATAAAACTGATGTTATGTACCGTATCTGATAGAGCCTTAAATGTGCTTATTTTGTAAATAATCATTTCACAACCTAATAATATCAGAATATTCAATATAGGTGTAGTGACACCTGCCATACAGCCTATAAATATTGTACAACAATGGAAACGAGAGTACAGTACGTACAAAAGTACTTCTTTCTTTTTTTTTTGCACAAAACCAATCAATCAAGCCATAAAGGGTTAAATTTAGCAGCGCAGGTCTGTGCTCTTGTTGTCTTTGGGGTTCCTGTTGTGCTGCAGGGGCTCTCTCCAGATTTTGAACTGCAACATCGGCATTGATCTGTGATCACAGTGAAAGCCAGACCCTTCCTTCAGAGCCCAGGCTGTCTCGCTGGGGTGTCTTTAAACAAGAATGCAATACAAGAGATTGCTCATTTCCCACTCTTCAGCTGAAGATGGCGGAGAAGCAGTAAATGTGAAATACGACCCTTTTCCCTTTTTGTAAAAAGAATTGCTGAACTAAATCATGCTAACCTTTTGGGATATATATCTGCGGCTGTTCATAAAATTATGAATTACAGTTGGAACAGTTTAGCAGTGTACAAGAATGGAGTGCTTTAGAGATGCATATGCTTTGATTTGATTATCGATGCCTCTTTTACTTTTTTCAAGGCTGTTAATTTAACGAATACTGCTCTAAGGACAGTGTAATTTCTTCCACATCTACATCTAGAATTCTTGGAAGAAAGATCTTATCTCTCATTGCTTTTTAAAATCTAAATATGCAATATGCAATAGTTTTCTGTTTGGTAGGCAACCTATTAGAGCCAATAGCTATGTGAAAAAAGCAATTGGATTTCATTTGAAACTGATAATGAATTATTTGCAGCAATTTGTAAACTTCCAAGTTCAGATTAACCCTGTGACCACACATAAATCTCTCATAGGCTATCATTGTTGGTTTAACTATTTCTGAGTGTGCACAAAGTTCAAGAAAACACTGTAGTAATACCTGAATGTACTGGAAAAATGTACTGTCTGTGGTATTTCATTTGGATTTTTCTTTTTTATTGCATTCAGCCAAGAAAAAAGCTTATTATTTTCTTCCCATCTGATTAGTGTTGGTCCAGCAGGGAAACGTGCCGTATGAGATGCGTCTGACTTTTGCCAAAGTCGGCTTCGTGAGCTGGTTTGTGTTTGTGGAGGAAACACTGAGCCGCTTGGAGGTTCTGAAGCCACAGAGCGACAGTGTCTGCGTTTCAGAGCTCAACCACCTTCCCCAGCCCTTTCACAGGGATACCTGATGCAGAGAAGGTTTAATATTTATATCACTGAGGGTACATCTGAAGCACTGGAAACTTTTGTTTGTTTGTTTGTTTGTTTGTTTGTTTGTTTGTTTGTTTGTTTTAAAAAAATCATTTTAAGTCACAATATGATAAATGGCGCAGAGAAGCACATTTGTTCTTTTGAGTCCAATTTCTCTGTCCATCAGCTTCTCGAATTGCTGGTTTTAGTTTGCGGTTTGGGTTTCAGCTTCCACAGGATTATGTAGGATTTTTCAATGGGCTCCGATTCCTTAATCTGTTGCAGTGTTGAACATTGCATACTCCTGCTTTCCCCAGTAGAACAAGGCAAAGACTGTTCAGGCCTCCTGCAGAGCATGGCATGGTTTGTACTGGAAGAGGCTGTCCTCATTTTCATTTTGTTGCTTTCTTAATTAAATAAAGACTCACGGGAGTCTTGAGTTGACTGCGAAAGGGGAGGGAGGTAGGTGGAAGGGTTTAGGCAAGAAGAAAACAGGAGAAAAGATTTAGAAAGGAACAGGAGAAGAAAGGGAATCGTTGGGAAGGCAGCAGACTCTCACGTGTGTTGTTGCGTCACAGCCCAGACGTGAGAGATCAGTGCGGGTCAGCGTAGCGCCTTGTGGAAGCAGATATGGTGAACAGATGGTCTCTCCTTAATGCGCAGTCCCAGCTGAATCCTAAAAGCAGTTTCCCAGAACTTTTCAACTTAAACACAAGTAAATCTAACCATTGTTTCAGCATATCTGGCATCTCTGTCCTCTGGTTAGAACAGGATACGCTCCTTCATAAATTCAAAGAAGATGTCCTTTTGACAAAACAGACATCATTCATTGCCGAATGAAGAAAGACCTGCTATGATGGGCTCAGTGAGCTGACAGGATGGTGTTCTTACCCACAGGGCTCCAATGCAGAAAACTAGGTCCAGAATGAAAACAGCTGAATGGGGACCCTCGGATCCATAAGCTCCTGGCAACCAAACATGTTCGATGGGCCTCCTGTTGTCTGTCCTTTCCTACGTTCTTGTAACATAGCTCTTTGGAAGTCTGTTTTTATACTTTTTGTAGAATCTGGGTCAGTGACACAGTGTTTTAAGGAGTTTATCACATGGTTGACTAGTTGTGATTTATCAGCTAGAAAACTGAAATATTTACAGGGTAGGCGAGTTAAAAAAAAATGTGCATGCACCTCAAGTTCCAACCTTACGAATGAAAGTGGAGCATTTGGCCCCTCTAGCCCGTTTCAGTGACCTGTGAGGTCATTGTTCCTAGGATCTCAACCACACATTTCTAAAAAGATACCAGGAATCAGCTTAAACACCCACCATGGCTGGGCAGCTTGCATACTCTTACAACCCGGTGTGTTGAGAAGAGCCCCTTGTTCTCAGTTTGAGATGCTCAGAGTCTTCATCTGTGTACTACTTGATTCATGTTTTTGTGTTCATTTTGAAGTAATCTGTTGAGTTGTCTTATTAGTGCTGTTGAGAACGTTTAAGGACAAATGTATTTGGAATACTTGTATTAGGTCCCCACATGGTCTTATCTGTTCAAGGTCCATTTCCTTCAGCCTGCTAGTAAAGAACTTTACCTTTTTAGCCCTAGAATGTATATGGTTGCTGTTCTCTGGGCTGATTTCAGAGCAGCAATCTTTTCTGGTGACATGGTGACCCTAACTCTACACACAGTAATATTCTAAATTACATTTTTTATAAATAAAAATATTTTATTCTAAAATATCCTGTCCTTTAACTGCCCTAACATTTTGAATGGCTTTTTAATTGCTTCCTACATTGTCAACAAGATTTAAAGGATGTGTCAACATAAACACTTAAGCCCTTTTCACAAGTAGCCCCTGATTATCATCTCAGCCTGCTTTTCAATCTGCATGTACTGTAAAACCCTACACTTATCTACATTAAATGTGATCAGGTATATGCCTAGTTTTATATTAATGTAAATCTTTTTGAATTTCATTTGTTGGTTCTAAACTGTTTGCTTATCCTCCTAATTCGGTATCAACTGCAAAATTGGCGATTCTGAAATCAATGTCTTTTAAATGTTCAATTAAGAGCAGCACTGGTTCAGGTACATGTCCCTGCAGCATCCACTAATCACATCTGGAGTATTCTGCCCTTATCTGAACTCTGTTTTCTATTTACAGACTAAATCTCAATCCAAGTTCTTGTTTCTCTGGAATGCCTGCCACCTATATTTTCAGAAGTAATCTTTGATCAAAAGCCTTCTGAAAATGCAAATAAACCTTATCATGTGTTCTGTGTGTGTCTGTTGCTGTTGTTGCTTGTTCACAGAGCTGTAACAAGTTGGTTGGGCTGTCTGTTCCTTCCTGTCCATGTCTATTGAGTTTATAATTCTAGTAAACCACTCGTTTAACAGACTGATGGGGGGGGTTCCATTATGGCCGAATATCTGTTAAATCATGAATTACATTTTTTCAGCCCAAAATCAAATGGTTATCAAATGAAATCAAAGTTTATTTATCAAATGCAAGAATCTATATATACTGTACTATATATATTCTTCCTGGATCTTTCAAATTATTCTTTAACAATTGAAATCAACACAGTCAATGTAAAAACTGAAGAAAAAAAAATAACATAAATATACAAGCTCTTTGTTTTATGTGCCGTAAATGTACCATGTAAAATTCAATAAAGCATAGGAAAAAAACAAAAAAAAACACCCATTGTAAGCAAATGACGCACCACTACTATTCTTGTTCCATATTATTTCAGCCTACATAATACTTAGATTTACCTTATTATATTTATATTTGTGTATTTTACAGAGCTTTTGTGTGTCAGTGTGTTGGCGTCCTGTCCAGGGTGTACCCTGCTTTGCACCTGGTGCCTGCTGGGATAGGCTCCAGCTCTCCCACGACCCTGTATTGGATAAAGCAGTTAGAAAATGGATGGATGGGTTTGTGTTGGTTTGTTTGCAGGTATTTCTAGCAAGTAGCACCGAGCAGGCACCTGACGTGACAACGAGGCGCACACCCACCCGTTGTGTCCGTCCCCTAACGTAGCGCCTCACCTGTGGCCTTTCCTCTCGGCAGGCCAGCCTCAGGCCTCTCCCTTTAGTCCCACGCTGGACGGCTTGGCTCCGGAGACGCCCTGCCTGCTGCACAACGGCGGCCAGCGCCCCCCGCCCCCCCAGAAGAACGGGAGCCCGCAGGGGCGGCCGGCCGCGCCCCGGAAGCCACACGGGAAGCTGCAGTCCCACCCCTCCCTCAGCAGCCAGAGCAGCAAGAGGAGCAAAGGCAGCTCCAAGTCTGCCAGCTCCCAGATCCCCATCGAAGCAGAGGATGGTGAGTCGGAGGTCGTGGGACAAGACTGCCGCTCTCGCCTCTCTCAGCACAGACCCTGCAGCACGGCTGGCTTATCCCTTACTTCTTCGCCCCGGACACCATTCTGTTGAAATATTGCTGATCGTTTGTCTTCCTACTGTAAGGACAACAGTATTGCAGTGCAAAAGCCATAATTGTATATTTACTGAGTATTACATGATAATCTTTCAATTTCACTGTAAAATACTTTGAGCATGGTTTCATTGTAATTACAGTACAATAAAATTAATGGCATGGTTATTTTGATAATAACATCGTCATTCTGTTTTGCTGAAGAGAGACCATTACTTTTCTTTTTATTTCTTTTTTTACTGTAGAGACAATAACACAACGGCAGTAATTACATGGTTGAAATGGCCCTGTAAAATCTAGTGATACCCATTTCTCATTTCTAGTCCCATGGACGGTCACAGTCAATGCCATGCGTCCCCCTCAATTATTTGGGACTTGTGCTCTTTAATATTCCTGCAGCTGTTAAGTGACCATCGATAAAAGTGAGTGACTTCACATGGTTTTCTGTCCACCATGTCCCCTGTTTGATCCCAGATTGCTGTGTCCACTGCATCCTGGCCTGCCTGTTCTGCGAATTCCTCACGCTGTGCAACATCGTGCTGGACTGCACCACCTGCGGCTCCTGCGCCTCTGACGACTCCTGCTTCTGCTGCTGCTGCGGGTCGGAGGAGTGCGGCGACTGCGACCTGCCCTGCGACATGGACTGCGGCATCATCGACGCCTGCTGCGAGTCGGCCGACTGCCTGGAGATCTGCATGGAGTGCTGCGGCCTCTGCTTCTCCTCGTGACCCCCGGGCCCCGGCGTGCTGGAGACTGCGAGGAAACAGCAGGCGAGCTCGGCTGCCTGGAGAAGCCCGTGAGGAAACCTCTGTGGGGCCAAGGGCTGGGCCGCTGGAAGACTGGCTGACTTCAGAGGACACAAGGCTCCTGAACCTGTTGCCTCTCAACCCGTCGCGCTGCTGTGTGAAATTCCAAGGCCGCCCCTTCCCCTTCTCGCTGTGCCATTCGCTCTATACGATGTAGATCACAGTTAGAACAAACCCTTTCGGTGTGCAGTGGCTGGACTGTTTTGGAGGGCTGATCTTCAGCCACGGTTTTTGACCGTTTCACAAAGAGCGTAGGGTAAGAAACTTATTTTTACCCACCAAGATCGTAAAACACAAAACAGCTGTTGATATTTTTAGGGAGAAATATAATATTAAGAGGCAAAGAAGTCAGGGTCTAAGCATTTATTAATGTAAAAAAAGGAACTATGACATTTTCAATGAAATGAGCGATAAAATCTGGTTGCTCAACATTGTGCTTTAAATTAATGTTTAAAAAGAGACTGGCTCAATTACTGTGGACAGCAGCAACAAAACTGTATATCCCTACTATTGTAATTGAAAGAGTTATAAGTAATGGGAGAGTTCTCATTTAGCTAGAAAACAGGAGAATAGAGTAGGGAACTAAACCTGTAATGTTATGTTTAGCTGCTGAATGCTTATATATATTATCATAAAAAAAACGTTTAATATATAAATGTATACCTGTAACACAAGGTTTTTTTTATATATGGTCTTTTCATACATGTGTAAAAAGGCATTTGTTTTAGTTCAAGATCTTCCATGTCCTAGATCATATCAAAATATTTTATTACAGATTTTTTTAAAAGAAATTTCATGATGCTGGAAAGGCTTAGAGGAAACTGTCACACAATGGGTGGACAGACAGGCAACTGGAAAAATATGCTTAATTTTTCTTTTGAGTATAAAACTGTCACCTTTGCAGGTGAAGCTTTGTTGTGTGTGCACCTGTAATATACAAAAGCAATGTACAGTAAGAGACATTTCAGTGCACTGAACGCGCTAGATGCAGTGTTTATGATCTCAAAATTGAGTTTACTTTATTTCGGCAGGCGGAGAGTAAAGTAGTATTGGTAACTTAACTGTTGTCACTTCAAGCTCAACAATGATAACTGTGCACGTTCTGTATCAATAGACTGCAAATGCTTGTGTAGCCACTGCCTTGAGTGGCTAAATAAGTATATCTAAATCAGTGTTAAGATAGCAGCTATACTGCAGCCACTAATTCAAGGGAAATAGTGTTGATTTCTGAAAAGCTGAACCAGACATACTTTCAATACTGTACATGAACAGGTCCCATCAGTCTGAGGTGGGATTATAGTACTAGTTAGACCTGAAAATCTACATTAAAGAGACATTTCAACAAATAATCTGTTAGCAGCCTAGTAGAAGAGAACCATCAATAAAGTAATGTGGTATAAAAAAGTCTTAACTTTTTAGAGAGCAATAAAAAGGTTTAATCTGTTCAGATCATTTATTCAATTTGCTGGAGAGATGCATTCTGTAATTACTAAGACTACTGACCTCTGCTATGTCAGAACCTTGACTTAGATTTACAGGACATGCTGTACATTGAGCCAGAGTGAAGTATAGTGACAGATTGTCCCTTTGGGTTACTGGGGACACCACTGTAATGTATAACTTAGGGAAATGCTCAATCCAAACAGGCAAGCTTGAGCAATGATACAGAGCAACACTGGCTCAAATAGTTCAATAACTTTAAAAAAGCTTCAAGCCATTACACGTTTCATTAAGAATACTTTTGCAGTTAGGATATAAAGGCACCGAAAGAATAAAGCTTTTGTTTCTGGCACGATTTATATGACTTTGAAACTGAGGCACTCATAAAATGTTTTTCACAAGTCTTATTAAAATAGAAACAGTTGCTATAGAGCAGGGGGTGTCAGGCTCGGTTCCTGGAGTTCCCAGTATCCTCTGGTTCCACCCGAATTCCATAACATAGTGGAGCATAATTATAATTTTTCTAACCTGGCTCCAAAGTCAAAAGTAAAGCTCCAAAGTTTTAAAAAAAAGTGTACTTTTAATTAAGAAAATCAAGTTAATGTTAAGTAGTCCATAGTAGACCATAAGAAACATTCTATTTGTGTCAAAGTAAGAGAATAGCTAGGTGAATTGTTTGATTGATAACTCAGATTGGAATAAAAACCCAGAAGTCACCAGGCCCTCCAGGGACTCAACCTGACATCCCTGCTGAAGAGGTTTAGCCTTTAAACATTGTTAGTGAGCTCTGCTGCAAAGCATGAAGTGACCAGGGCTGAGCCTGTGAGAAGCTGCTTATGTACACCATTATGCAAAGATGTGCGAGACAGCATTCAGGCCAGAATAAATACTTATCAGCAATATTCTAACTTCTGCAGGCGGGAATGCAGAAGAGTTTTGAGTTCTAGAAATGAATACAGGTGTGGCCTGGGGTAGCCTTTATCATGCCTCTCAATAGCTCAGCCCACTGTTCTCATCTGCACTTCAGAAATGTTTTAAGAGAACAACCAAAATATAAATGTGATGCTTTTGGGACAAATACCAGGCTCTTCACATTCAATCTGCAGTGCTGATGTTTTAGTTTTTGCTTGACATATTTCAATCTTGTTGACAGTTTCTGAAAGAGATTTAATCCTGTTCTTCACCAGGGTCAGCACAGCCTAAATCTTTCCTAATTTGCCTAAGAGAGGAAGCTCTTTTTAAACACATTCCCAGCTTCTGAAGAGCAAGTGCAGATAAGTCCCATTTTTGTCTAGCAAAAGGGAAATTACTTGACCTTTTAACCATCCGAATAGAAATTTTAATCTTCTGAGAAAAGGAAGGCAGAAAATGAGAAAGAAAGAATCCCTTAAGTACGATAATTTATAATTATAACCTTTAAAGTCCTGAAACATTTTTTTAAATGAAGGTCTATGGTAAAACTGCAAAAAAAAAAATGAAATGCAATAAGACTGACGCCGGTGACTGTGTATTGAAAATGCTGTTTGAAATGAGACTGGAATGTCAGACGAAGGATTGAACTTGACTTATGTGTGATAAATGCACAGTATACTGCTCGGCACACCAGGCAGCTGCGGTCTAAACGACAAAGTCCCCTGACGGGCATCCTCTTCTTCTGGCACCTGCCATTTCATTGCTGTGAGATTCAGGCTGGCTCCCTAAAACACATCATCTCAGCCATCCAAACATCCCTTTGTCCTAATCTCCATAACATCAACCTGTGTCCCCAGATCCTTGCTCCATTGCGGCAGAGCTTTTGGAAGACAACTTGTGGAGCAGAGCTATAACCAAGGACACCACAGAAACACATGTGAAAACACAAGCACTCTTTGGAAGTCGAAAGAGAAATGATCAGACTGGAGTCAATGCAATAGTGTATTATTTTTTTCTTTTCATGTGCAATCAAAAATGTAATGAATTAATGGAGTATGTGTTAAACCAAAGCTTTGCAGGGCTTATTCTGTAGATTTATGTTCTAAAGACTTAGGTTTGATTTGTTGCTCTGCTAGGATCTAAATTTTATGGTACAAACAATTTAACATTTGATATTCTGTGCCTCACCTGCTGTGTCCTAAAACACAGGACTATGACAGATGACTTGATATTAAAAATGCATTGTTATTTAATTTGGCAGCCTGTTTTTCTTTTTTCCATTTTTTTCAGTTTTTGATGTCAGTGTGTTTCTTTGTCAGGCTGTTCTAATTGCCTTTTAAATTGCCCTTTATTATGGCATCATTACGAGTGTGAACATATCTGGGACAAGTACTATAAACAACATTAATATCTTATGTACTGTATTCCATGCTTGTGAAATCCTGCTCCAGCTTGTGAGGTATGGGCAATATTAAGTATGTAGCTACAACAAAAAGAGTTTGCTTCATTGCCAAATAGTGTGTTGCAAGGAATGTGACTCTTTGAATAACTGTGCTTAACAAAGTGCATTTATATTTGGTATCAGTTTACTTGAATGTTTACTAAAACACTATCATAATTGTTTAATAAACACTACACAACACCACAGAGCAACATCCATAATCCTTTACAACCATTTGTGTGAATGACATTACAGTTACACGGTTATTTGTAATTATTCTTATCGACGCACAGAATCAGCTGAAAGCTAAGAGCACAACTCCAGGCAGAGGGAAGATGGAAATGATGGAAAAAGACAACACTGTCAGAGCTGACATGTACTTTCTGCAGATGCAGCTCAGTAACAGTATAGTGTTAACAGTAATAACAGTGTACTCTGTAACAGTTTTTACAGTTCCAATGTGGAATAGAAACACAACAATTTACAAAATCATTTAATTATCACACAGTGCTAGACAGAGCAATAATTTATTCCTACAGTATAGTGCCTAAATGTAGGCTTATTTTGCTCCAGTGTTTTAGTTTAGTATTATTCACTCATTGCCACGTGAAAACAAATGTCTGCCCTTAAGAAAGCTACATGTGCCAACTTGATTCTCTGAATTGCAGTGTATTGAGTGAAGACAGGATGTAAATATTGTTTCATGGTCTTTCTATTCGAAGACTTGGATACAGAATTCGTTATCGAGGGGGGAATAAAGAGATATTTCCTGCGCTGAACGTTGAAACCTAAGGAAAGCTGATTATGCAGGAAACCATCAATTAGGAATGCAGCACTCTTTTCAGGATTCGACACAAGGGTTGTTCAGTGACACCAAAAATAATTTTGCCCCTCGCTCCTCACTAGCACAGTTGTTTTGACACTGTAGCTGTGTTTTAGATAAATAATCTGGAAGAAACAATAGCCTCACATCCAAAAGATGGAGCAGATCCTGTTTTCAGCTCTCTTCCTGGATTTCTGTTTCAAGCTGCTGCCAAGTCCTTTAAGCCAGCTGTGGATCACTGTTGGTGGGCCTCACCTACAGTACCATTATGCAATGACAGGCACAGAGGTTAAACAGTCCTTCTATTCAGAGGATTTATACATTCTCAAGGAGAGCCCACTCCATTACTAGCTGATAAACATTATAGTAAGATAAAGGTCTATCAGAACACATCATAATACACCCTGGATGACACCCCTGAAGTGCAGCATCCACTTCAGTGACAGATGGCTACCATTCTGTGCCAGCGCCCCACTACAGCAGATCAGGAGAAGAAGTGAGAAATTATAATTTGGCTGGAGATTACTTTTGATTAAGATTACTGAAGTACAGACCAACCCAAGGTGGAATTTAGCCAGGACACCAGAGTTAACACTCCTATCCTAAAAGCCTGCACGGGTGCTCTTTAATGACGATGTAGTCAAGACCGTGATTAATGTCTTGTCCAAAGGACAGCTCCTCTGGAGAATAATGTCCAGTGGACACTATATTTCAGTGCAAAGCGTGCCACCTACATTTCCATCATCACCACTTACAGCAGCAACCTCGTTTTCCTTAGAGTTCTCCCATCCCAGTACTGCCCTGCTGAGCTTCTGAGATCTGACAAGACCGGCCTGCGAGGTGGCAGTTCTACAACCAGAACTTGAGACTTTTTTCCAGAGTGAGAATCTGAGATGTCTTGACCGTCTTCTAAAGATGTCTTGTGCCTCTCCTTCTACCTTCACAACAGGTGCCCCTTACCTTGGAGTCTGGCCTTTAAAATAGACTCCAAGGTAGGAGGAGAGCTCGCACCATGGGCAGGACTGAGTTCCTTGCAGGCTTTATTGAAATCGTCTGGGGAAATGAAGCCCAACACCACTGTGTCTGTGGTGCCACTGCACATGGTCACCCAGGAATAACAAAGCCAGGTTATGTTATTCCTGTAACACAGCAGAGCACTTCAATGAGCACTGCGTCTCTCTCGATGTGCTCCACACTACACTGACCTTACACTGCACCCACTGACGGCACTTCACTGACCTTACAGATTCTTTCCGTTAACTGCTGCTTTTCTTCAAGTAAACCCTTAAAATTAGTGCCTGAAATACAGTTGAACAGAAAGTCAAAATCCTTTTTAATCTCTTCTGCATTATAGCTTTATAATAAACTGAACTTCAAATGGGTTATTACTGGAATGCGACTGCTATATAATTCTGTTTTATTATTATTAATATTTTCAAGAAAACTGCATTTCAGCATCTGTTCTTTAATTTAAAAGTCACTAAAATGAGGCCGAGCAGAATGAACAGCTGCGCAGGCTAGCTCGTGAGAAATTGAAATTGGAAAAAAAAAGAAGAAACGCGGAAGGGAACAGCTGTAAAAAGCGCAAGGCAATTTCGCGAACACTCGAAACAGGGAAGACCGGAGTGAGACCATTTTGTCTCCAACTTGGAGGCTTACCGCCCTGAACCAGCGGCCGTGTCTGTGAATGTACACAGGCCCATGCAGCACCGTTTCTACGGCAGTCTTCAACACTACCCACTCATCCCTCTACCCAAGAAGAGTGACACCTTGTAGCCTGGTGGGGCGCCCCAGTGAAGCTGCAGTCTTGGTTGCCAATCCGTCTCGCCTGCCCACAGCCAACCCAGCCCAGGAGACAGGTTCCTCAGCTGCCCAGCTGGAATTACAGTTCCAGCTGTACCAGAGGCTATGCGTTTACCTGAAAACGCTGATTTGTCCGTTTCTGTTTGATATACTCCTGGAATTGTAGGGAAAAGACACTGGTAGAAATCTTTTTCTACCCATATGACCATGGGGTTTTGACGTCAACAGCCTGGTAAATGTTTCCATCATGTATTACATGTTAAAAGCGCAAACCAGTATAAGGAAAATAAATGCATGAGTTTATTTTAATGTACGAGTTCTACATTAAAAACTACGTTAACGTTCATGTTAAGGGTTAACTCAGCTGTAAGTCTCAGCACTTGAGAACGAAGAAGAATAACTAAGGGCTTTATGTTTTCATGCAGCACAGTGCAAATTTATAGTTTTGTTTCAAATGGGCTGCCAAACTCTTTTTGAAACAAAGCCAGTTTGGGTCAGTTTAACAATGTGCGCTCATGAACTGGGAGCTAGGGAGCAGGCACTCTGTTGGTCTTTACGAGATCTCTCCCTCGGTATCGGCCTCGCATGAATTTTAATAACCGGTCCCCCCCTCTCGCCTCCGACCGCGCCGGCGCGCCCCGCGGGCAAACGCGGGCTCGTCACAAGCGGAGATCGCACCCAGTTGAAATTTGATATAGTTCCCCCCCAAAGGTCAAGTCTAACAATTGCACCGGGTCGTGGCAAGCCGTGGACAATGTGGCGATTCTTGTTCTACCCGGAGAGAGTTATTCTGAACAATCAAGTGTCACGTCCACTGACAGCTGCATCTGTTTTGAAGTGCGGCTTGTTGAAAAGTGTTTCTCTTTTTTTTTTTCTATGCCTTCCCTTGGAAATTCTCATATACTCGACAGGAACGGAGGACAAGCAGCTATTGAATATTAACTATGAAATTACAAAGACCACATTATAATAGAGGTGAGGAGGTCACCAGCTGTGATGAAAATCATAAATTAATACCCTCGACATGAAACGAGACTTGCCTTTGGCTTTCAAAATTTCTGCCTTTCCTTTCTTCAGTAATAAAAGGTGATAAACGCAGGGCAAAGCTCCTGTTTTATTAATGCTGAGGCCGAGGGAATGCAAGAATAGCATGAAATCTCTGGATTTTTTTTACAATCTCTTTAACATTGCGACAGCGTTGCTCACAGTAATATAGAATCAGCCCTGCATAACCTTTAATAAACTCATTCTGAACCGAATTGTAAAGGGATGCTACGCTTTATCTGTAAAGATTCTTATTAAGATCGTATTCGAATATCTTAATGTGTTGACAACAAAGGGTCTTCTTCAATGGACATGCGGTGTACTTGGATCCCTCCCTGTTGCTTATAGTTGGAGCAGAACAGTTCTGATTTTAATTTCAGTTTCAGTTCAAACGAAAACAAAACCATAGCTGTGCAGAAATCTTGCCTGGGGTGAGCACTTAAGTTTTTCAAGGAACCCTGATTGTGAGAGACAAATTGCATCAGCCCCGGAACTGAGTTTTAATTATGCTTGTTATAAAACTGGCTACCTTAAAGCCAAACTGGGAAAGACCAATTGTCAGGGGAATGTCTAATTAAAACATTGGTCTTGCAATTTACAATAGCCTTTGGTACCCGTTTACGAACAATGTAAATTCACGTTTTTTGGTGGCCTGCGGAAAGACACCTGGGCAGCCATATTGACAGTGGCAGTGACCGCTGAGTACAGGTGTGAACCAGCCTGATGACACAGGTGAGTATGTCACACTGAATGCCAGCACTGAAAGTCTTCTTCTGTATGAGGCAAAAACTGACAGCAACTGACACAGTGAATGTGCTTTTCTGTTGTTTTATATCCTTAGAAAATATTCAGTGCTGCATTTAATCTAGACATTTCTAAAAATCTACGTTGGATGAACCGCAATAATGTAGATGTTCATTCGTTTTAAACAGTTATAATCAGGAGCTATGCTGTTCTTCTAGTCACATACACTAGTTTGTCAATGAATAGAATAAACCAGCTTTTTATTGCGACAAAGACTCATTGAAAACAACCTGTGATGACTGACAATGCTTTCTCTTGTACAATGCAATGAGATGATCCTGAAATCTTTCACCTACTAGCAATCAAGGAAAAAATGTGCTGAAGATTCCCCTTCACTA